AAAGGGGGTCCAAAATCCCCCAACAGGTGACTGCGCTGGGGGGGGCCGGCCCCCAACCAGGTGCCCTGCCCGGCCAGGCCGCCCGGGACCTCCCCCGGGCCCCTGCCGGTCACCCGGGCGACCCGGATCCCCACTCAGCGTGACATTTATTTCATAGTGTAATTTTTTATTTTTTTTTCATTTTTCTGAAAAACTTGAAAAAAGTATGTCGTGTAGCATTGCAAGACAAACAGATTCCCTAAGCGCAATTTCGAAAGTCAACTTCAAGTGAAAATATAGAAAATGTGCAGGTCTCTGTACCAATCACACTCAGGTGCGACGTCGTGTTCTGTACTCTGGTGCGGACCATTGTATGTGAGTTTGAAATGGAGTTGCTGCTGATTCTCTTCATAGAAGATCTGTTATTGTCTTGGTAGAGCTCAGTGTAGAGTCCGAGTTAAGTGCATGTGTGGTTTTGGTCCCTCTCCTCCCCTTTTCTACTGAACCCAGTGTTTGTTGAATTTTTACTCAGTTTTTATGGGTCCTACTAGTAGGAAAGTGGGTGGGGTGGTTGTCGTTACTTTCTGCTAAGAGTGTGGCTATGTTTGTTATGTATGGCAAATGTGAAGTTGAGGCGGTGTTCAGGAAGAGCAAAATTGACATCCCAGATCAAAATAGAGGAGATGGGCAAGATCAGCCACACTTCTTAAATGTTGAAGCACAGGCTGCCAAAACTGCGAAAGACAAAGGCGCAAAAGAGGATGTGGACCATGGGGAACATCGTGACACAGAGTCGGCAAGGGAGCATGGCGTTGACCAGGATGGAACAGAAGCCCAAGCAACGGAGGGTGGCACTGGCCAGGATGAGAGAGAGTCCCAAGGGATTGCAGGAGGGCAGGAGGAACCAGTTGAGAAGATCAGCACAGGGGCCGGTGAACAACCTGTACAGTGTGAAGAGGCACCTGTGGCGGATGGTGGGGAGGGACACGAAACTCAAGCTGAGCACGCAGACTCAGACCAAGCTGGGTCCTTTCGGAGTGGATGGGAAGATGATGTGCTCCGTGGTAGTGCCCGCATTGTGTGTGATGATGATGATGAAGTTGATCAATGGGATCCAAAACGTGATGAGGATTTGCAAGGATCTCATGGTGATGCCGTTGATAAGGGCGGTTTTGGCAGCACAGAATGCCCAAATGAGGCCAGGGAGCAGGTGGAATTGGATAGAGCCAATGCCCATGGTAAGGACGAAAACTGCATACCAGATCCTTGTAGGCTGGAGGCAGCTTGTGTTGATCAGGGTACTGAGATCAAGCCAGACCATGATGAACTTGCAGGTCGGTCCAAGGGGAAGATCGCCACAAGTGTGCCAGTGGGCCAAACAGTCAAAAAGAGGAAAAGGGATGGTGGTGCTGAGGAAGAACTGGGAAATAAGTTGCCTAGTGCTCCTGGAAAAGGTGATGGCAAAGGGAAGAAGGGGGCTGTAATGAAGAAGAAGCTTAAAGTTGCGTCTGGGAACGAAGGGAAAGAGGGGAAAGAGGGAAAGGAGAAGGGGAAAGTTACAACAACGAAAAAGGCACCACCAAGGAAAAAAGTAATAGATCCGAAGACTCCCACAAATGCTGAACAGCCTGTTGAAGGTTCAGTGAGGGCAGTGAAGTGCACAGCGGATGCACCATCAGGTGATGCCCGTTCAGTGGAGCCGCCTCGCATGCCTGGAATGGATCAAATTAGTGCGAGCAGGGTACCATCTGGTGACGTTCTTCTGGTTGAGTCACTCAAACGGAATGAGAAGGTTAAGGTTGCTGGTGGAAAACTCCCGACTGATAATGTGAACGTGTCGGATGTGCAACAAGGAGTTGGACTAGATGATGTGGAGGGAAAATTGGAGGTAATGGCTACCACCCTGAGTGGAGGCTTAGGGTCACATGAAGGCACACACAGCTCTCAGCAGGAGGTGGCAACGGCCAAAATAGCAGGTTATGAAAAGGAGGCGGGTCCTCAGCACAAGCAGGCAGGAAAGCATGGCACCATTTGTTCCCAAATGCCTGATGGGCAACTCACATCAGGAAAATCTAAGCCAGAAGCAATCTCACGCAGCCATGATGCGAAAACTGACGTAATTGAACGAGCCATAGCGAACGAAAATTTCCCAAAGAAAAGGAGCCTTGAAGAGCGAGCGCCGGACACCAATGCAGATGTGCCTGCTGATGAGTCTAATGGGTTTGTGCAGGTTAGCCATGCATCGAAGAAAATGAAGCAAGGCAAGACAGCTCAGCCCAAGGCATGTGAGCCCTCAGGGGATAAGGGAAGCATGGTATCCACCACCAAGAACACTGGTGATGAAGAACACTTTCCTCCTGGGTTGAATATCACTCTAGGAATAGATGTGCTTGCGCTTCCTGCATTGAATAGTGAATCTGGTGGTGCTGAGAGTACTCCGTCGAGTGCAAAAGTTGAGCATGGCACGAAGGCTGCAAAGGCACAGGGTAAAGCTCTTCAAGAAGGACAGATGCCACAGGGCACTGTAAAACCAGTCAAGAAATTGCAACCTTCCGCCGTCAAAGTAGGAAAACTAGGCAAGAAGGGGCCAGGACATGCACAGCTGGGGGTGAATGCCAGGAAGATGTCCCAGCAGCAGCCTTTAGCTTCCAAAGTAGAGAATGCTACTCATTCTCTGGTAGAGAGTGCACCTGGAGAAGTACATCTGATTGATAGCAAAGGTTCTCTACCTGAATTACCCGTACTGCAACCAGATGCATGTGCTGCTCCAGATACTAGTAGGATGCCGTTGTCGCTGTCAAAGGCGGCTGAACGTTCGGAAAACGCCATCCGAGGTCTTGGAAAGACCGTCTCAGACGTGCCAGCCATTCCCCCTGACAAAACATCAGCACAAAGAACTTCTGTACACTCTGAGAAGGAGCAGGGGAAGAACATCACCAGAAAAGCTGGAGCTGTTGTGAAGAATGTTGTGAAGGGAAAGAAAAGAGTTGTGGTCATGGGTCCAACGACGGTGCTTGAAAAGGTCGAGGTCGATGGAAAGCCACAAACTGGAAAAGTGGACCAAAGCCAACTTCATCAGAAGGCTGAGAGGCTGGCCAAGGGTGCTGCTGCTGAAGACAGCAAGGGAGGTGAAGCCAGGAAACAAGAGAAGTATTTGACCAAGGAGAAGGGGAAGAGTGGGTCTATAATGATTATTGGTTTGCCTTGCTGGGACGGCGAAGGCAAGAACTTATATGATGAACTAGATACCCTCATAAGCCACATTGTTGAAGATGAGAAAAAGGCAAGTGTTAAGCGGTGTGAGACTGGTAGTGGCCAACCATCCCTTGGAAAGCCTGCTTCGGCTTTGCAAGGACTAAAGAAGAAAGTGCAACCTGCCGGGAAGAAGACTGCTGCTGGCACCAGTGGCAAGAACAGTTCGCCATCTGGTAGTGCGGATGGTGAGAAGCCAGGTGGTTTGTTGAAGAAACTTGCAGGTGGTACTGAAAGAGCGGAGGAAATGGACATGTCTGAACCAAGCATTGCCAACGAGCAACAGCAGGGACTGAAGATGCCTCTCCGAGTCACGGATGGGAATCTGGCAGGGAAAGAGAGCAATCTTGTCGAAAGTCCCGCTTCCGGTGCAATGAGCAAGGAAAGATTTTTGCAGCTGAAGGCCCGTATTGAGGGGAATGGCGATAAGCGGGTTGTTCTGAGAGATGGTAGGCTCTTCATATTGAAGAAGAAAAAAAAGAAGAGCCAAACCATCATGGAGTCAATAAACAGTGAGATGAGAGTGCAGGCGGATGGTGTGGGGCTGGCATCTGAAGGTGGAGATGTCGCTGAGAACAAACTGGAGGCTAAAGACGTGAGCAGTGAAGGTCTGAGGCCAAAGGCTGACACAAACAATATCGCACCCACGTCAGTGAGCATTGTGAAAGGGGGCTTGAAGATCGGCAAGGCTGATGACTTGGCTGAGAACAGACAAAGTCAAAGGGCTCTCCTCTTAGATTTATCCGCAAGGAAACAAGATACTATAGCTGAAGCTGCTCCAGATGCTGCGGAGGAGTTGAAAAAGCTTAAAAAACTAAAGCCCAAGGCGAAGGACTGGGGAGCTGCAACAACCTTGCGGGAAAGCAGGGAGGCAATGTTGGCATTGACACGAGAGGTGAGACTACGTAGGCAGTCTGGAAGCCTGAAAAGGCATCCCTTCTATCAACTCTGTGCTAAGGTTTGCGTATTCGAACTTGGACTTCTATGTAAGCCTTTTTTTTTTTTTGGGGGGGGGGGGGGGGCGTGTGTGGGGGGTGTGCAAGGCCGGTCGTGGCTTGTTAGGAGGTGTGATACGAGCAGCCCCCACCTGCTGGACATCGGGTCCAGTGTCTCACAATGTTACAGTATGTATTCATATTAACCGGTCACATTTTGTCATAAATAAGAGATTCCTACTGTGGGTAGACCATTAAAAGTAATCAGAGGACAAATGCCACATATGTCTCACACAACTGCCTTTCATAGGCAGTTATGCGGCTGGCCGCAGACCATGGTGATTGTGTGTGGTGTGTGTTGAGTTGGATACGAGAGCCTTACAGGGGTGGTGTGGATTTCACGACCGGTATGGTTCCACTTTTGAACACCGTGTCCTTGCTGTAGTGGTTAAGATACCCGGCTCTTGAGGCCGAGGTCGCCGGTTTGAATCTGTCCCTGCACGGAGAAGGGCTTAGGCTTAGATGCGCGGATCCATTTGCTGCTGCATGGTGAATCCCTGTCAGTACCATCCTCCCTGTTCTGTGAACATGTGAAGCTGTAAAAAAGAAGCGTCCAAGGTTCTACTGTTCTCAAAAGCTGCACCTCAGGCTCTTCTGACCGTTCTCATCGATGGCTAGCTGCAACCTTTGGGTGGCTAGCTGAGAAAAATTGTGCTGACCGATGTTTTCTTATATATTTTTTTTCAAACACATATGCCCGACTATTCTGGGCGGCAGCATTCCGGTTGCTCATCACCGGCAAGCATGTACAACCGGAGAGAATAAGCAAAGAAAAAGTACAGCGTCAACAGCCTGCTGAGCGAAGGCCCTAATGTTTCAAGAGTGCTGTATTTGATAAGCATTCCGTGGCGAATACATATTCTGGGCCTGCACACCGCCTGCCCACCACACCATGGTAATTTTCCTACACTATTGAAATCGCTAACGTGACAAATCTGAAATCCAGGCCGTCGAGGTTCTTACTGGCCCACGGCCCAGATCGCCAGAACGATGTAACAAAGCTAAGATCTGGCCCGTTCGGTTGTACCAGAACGACGGCCTAGATAGGCGCGGTCTTAAGATCTTAGGACCGCGACAAGATCCAGGCCACCGGTTCCGGCCTACCGGACCGGCGGCCAATATCATTTGCCTTTTGGAAGGGGCCGCGGTACCTACCGGTACGGTCTCTTGGCGCGGTACCTACCGGTAGGGTTTTGTGCTCAGTTTGCCCTGTTGCTGTCGTACGCATTTGTGCTCTGTTTGCCCAGTTGTTGTCGTACGTGCATTTGTCCGCGCATTTGTCCGTTTCTCCACCCATTGTGCAGCGCGCTGTCGTACGTGTTTGTACTCTGTTTGAAGCTTCGCCCATTGTGCAGTGCGCTGTCGTACGTGAAGAAGTTGTACTCTGCCATGGGCGCTGTCACTTATCGCCCTCTCTCTCTCTCTCTCTCTTCTCTCTCTCTCTCTCTCTCTCTCTCTCTCTCTCTCTCTCTCTCTCTCTCTCTCTCAAGTGAACCGTAAGCTATGGTGGTCCAGGGACTGTCGTGGCCGGTCACGAGTGGTGGTCCATGGTGGTGGAAGCTGTGGCGGTCTGGGGACCGTGGTGAGCTGTGGCGGCCCATATCGTGTGGTGGTCCGTGGGCTGTGGTGGCCTGTAAGGTGTTGTTGATGACTCTATTCGAAGTCGATATGGGAAACGCAGGTCAGTATTTCCTTCCTCCCCC